TCAGACAGTGCTTGTACAGCACGTACAGGATCCTCAGAAAAGAAAGTGAAAATCATACCTAGGTGCTCAAATGTGCAAATTTAGACACGGTTTTGTTTTCATTTATGAATATTTACATATCTTGTTTGTCTTGTGAGCTTCGTGTTAGGCCAATCATAACCCGGATTGGCATGGGGCTGGTCATTGTAAATGTAATGTAGTAAACCAATAAAACAAATGAAAATGTGTGAAATTTTCATTCTCGGTCTCGTCTCATTCAACTTAGCATTCTTAATGCTCCTCCAACCGTATGTTAAATTAAAGGAATTTCGGTAATCATACCACTAAGATCATTTGAGGAATTAGGCTGTGTACCTTGATGGCTTCTTCATAACTTTGAAAGTGCACTGGGACATAAGAAAATCACCAAAAATAGGGTGAAATCTACAAGAAATCGCAAGAAATTACATATCCATTGGAATAGTAAGTAGTACCTTTTTCTGTAACATTGTAATAAGAAACATAGCTTTCTTCAATTTACTCAAGTGAATGTCCCCTCTTCTCTCTTAGCGTCAGCCATGTTTGCACTGTGGTACACGTATTATCCACACAGTCCTGTCTTGTCTACAGTATAACGACAATATGGTGAAAGGTCGAAGTCGTAACATATACTACCCATCAAAGGTTTAGACTCACTTAAAGCACTCACTATATGTTATGTATATATGTATGGTTACATCGATGATGAATGTCTCCACTAACTTGTGGGAACCAACTGTAAACCTTATGCAGATGAATTGCACGAGGATCATGCATTTAATTGCTGTAAGCATGTGCAAATATCGTGCATGTGAACAGCTGCGTTTTGGTGTAAAGTTTTGTTACGAATTCGTCAATTTTCACTGATTTGTATCACTTATTGAACTCATGACAAGAATCTTTTCAACGTTACAAATGTGTTTTACAATACATCAGTTCATGTGTAAACAGTACCTTTAAACAATATGGAAAGTTTTGCAAAATTTGTTTTAGAACAGTTGACTTAAGTAAATGGCTACATTTACACTAGTGAGTCTAAACTTTTGATGGGGAGTGTAGTAACGGCGTTACCGTTTATCTTCTAATGTATGAGGCTTCCCTAATATACATAATACAAAATACACAACTACCTTGCAGTTTATTCACTTTGAATGCGTTGAGAACGCCTGTCGTTTAGAAAGTGGTCAATACCATCTGTTATATCAATACACTCAGTATCACTATGTCATTAAAGTACGAATTCTAGTACATTTGTTGGTTGAGTTCCATCCAGGATTCGAACGCACACTCCGAGAATAAGGCACATCATCGCCAACACACAAAGTGTGTGACACGGGTGCTCAGTGGGGTAGGGGTTGCCGGGAAGTCGAGTCCAATGACATTATTGGCTAAGCACTTAGTTTTCGACAACCATCCCATATATCACATGATAATCTAGTTAAGACTGTGTAACATGGGTGCTCAGTGGGTTGGGGGCTGCGTGGAAGTCAGGTTCCATGACATTATTGGTTTAGTACTCAGTTTTCGACACCAATGCCCATATTTCACTGGATAGTCTGGTCTGGTCCGGCGTCAAACGAATACATAAAGCTGATATAATCAGAATTGTACAATCGACTCTGCTTTTAAATGAGATTTCTTGTGGAAAGAGTTTTCTCCTTTCTATTCATTTGAGCAACATACGAAAATGACATTAATGAACAATCACAAACCACAAAAAGAGGGAACATATACAACTAATAGTAACTGCATAAAATAAAAATTGCATAAAATAATAGTTATAACAATGTTATCGGTGCCCTTGGTTTGGTTTGGTTTGGTTTGGTTTGGTATCTGTGCCAAGAGATCAGGAGAGTCCTCGGGTTCTCCACCGGGAGCACAGCCCTTCTCACACTCTGGGTAATGCAGAAGGCTGTAGTATTGGGGAGCCTTCATATTCTCCGGAAAGTTCTTGGGTTCGACTAGGCAGTGTTTCCTGGGAGAAGTCCCATTCGCTGTCTGGGCTGCGTGTAGAGGGGGCGAGGGCCCTGAGCTGATGATGAGCCTTACCAGCCTGATTGTGCCAGGATCACCCGAACCCTCTCTGCTGCATACTATCCTTAATCTGTTAAACAAATATAAGTTATAACAATAAATATGTATCAAGTCACTTTGCATGAAATTTGATGTCACGTATTTGATGTCACATGCACGTTATACACAATGACCTTACTTCACTTTTTGCCTACTTTTTGACACCTGAAGTTCACAACCTGATACCTCAGAAACGGTTCATTATTCTATGTCTCTGAATGTTGTGGAAAACACGTTTATATCAACCTAAACTACACGTACGTCATGCCATGGCTTACAGAAACTCAGTGTCTCCGCGCCCAGGGTATGCTGGAGACTGAAATGGCCCAAAATGAAGTGGATCGACATTATGGTGTCAATCAAACCTCGATTTCATATCCATGGAGACGTTTTCAACATAATGAGAACACGAGAGATTTACCTCGGACCGGTCGTCAACTCGTGACGTCGCGTCATCAAGACTAGCTGGCCCATCCAAGGATTTGATTCCAGACTGCCAGTTTGACTGCTCGGAACATTCCTGGTTTACGTCCATTCAGTTCCAGGATTGTACGGAACCGACTGAGGGGGAACAGCATCCGGCCCCGGCGGTATGGAATACGTCTAATTTTGCTCCAACGCCACAACTTGATAGACAATTGTCTTGAATTTGGTTTACTTTGCACGCGTTTAATACGCTTGTTACAGGAATACATATTGTATGTCACCGGTGCTCAAAAATGAGGGATTGCCTAGACGTTGAACACGTCGGGCAATGTCCGACCAAAGACAGTATTGGCTAACTGCACTTTTCCCATAACCACAGACATGATATGGCTGAAATATTGACGATGACTTTTAAATCTTAACTCACTCACTCACTCATATCTCTTCATAAAAGAGTAACCCCAAAGAGAGTCACTGTCTAAAGGGGAATTGGTTGTTTATAGCTTCAGAAAGGGAACCGAGTCTCAACATCAACAACACACACACACACACACACACACACACACACACACACACACACACACACACACACACACACACACACACACACACACACACACACACACACACACACAATAATACATTATCATTACAACAATATACATACACACACATCGACCCATTTACATGATGTATCAAGGAACGGGTTGAAGAGTTTGTTAAAACACTAATGAAAACAAAGACACCATTAACCCTTTAAACTGAACATAACAGGAGGTGGGGCTGAGGGGCGATTCTCACATTTGACTGGTTGATGCTAACCAAAACCTTTCATCTTGCAAATTCGTCTCTGTATGTATGTATGTATGTATGTATGTATGTATGTATGTATGTATGTATGTATGTATGTATGTATGTATGTATGTATGTATGTATGTATGTATGTATTATTAATGTAATGTAATGTAATGTTATGTTATGTTATGTTATGTTATGTTATGTTATGTTATGTTATGTTATGTTATGTTATGTTATGTTATGTTATGTTATGTTATGTTATGTTATGTTATGTATGTGTTAGTGTGTGTGTCTGTGTGTGTATGTATGTAGGTAGGTAGGTATGTATGTACGTAGGTACGTAGATAGGTAGGTAGGTAGGTAGGTAGGTATTCAGGCAGGCATGTCTGTAAGCATGTATGTGCAGTCATGTAACTTATTAGACAGTAAATCCTTTTACGTTCTGTATGTGAAAACAAGGACAGAAACGACCGCATCCATTATTTTTAACGCAGATTGCATATACCACGTGTTTGGTTTTCAATGATATTTAGAGACTATCAGGTCGGTCTAACGTAATTTCTAAACACAGTATGTTAATTTCCATTCTACCATAACCGATTTAAAATCGAACTTCGTCGTTCGGCGGAAGAAACTGCGTAATCCGGCATGGGCGAATTGAACTCGTCTGTAAAGGGTGTGGAAAGTGCCGTTCGTACTTTTTAAACATTACAACATAAAATATATTATGTCCAAAGAAAACAAACTGTTTATTCAATGTAATAGCTAAAGTGGGACGCAAAGGAAGCGTTTCAAACTTACTAGATGTCTAATATTGTGTAAACAATTCTAAACGGAAAGAAATATATCCTTTACCAGGTGGGCAAATGTTAAATACGTTTTGCTGTAAATGTTGTATAAATAGGGATGTATTTTTGAAAGGCTTTCTGAATTATAAGTTAGATATCGTTTGTTTCTGGATGGCGTTGTACATTGTGATTGAGTTTAAATATTCTTATAATAGAAGGTGATATGATAGCGAGGCTACCTAATAACTGTGGGGGAAAATAATAATGTTTTATTAGCATTTCCATCACGTCTCTTGTGTTGATATTAGCCATGTTCGTGGTCAAGCTGAAGTAGTGTTGCAGTGTTGTATAAGTGCGCAGTGAAGCGGTCATGACATCAGACGCATTTTCAATCAAAATTTAATAGTGTCTAATTGATTGATTGTCCAATTCAATTCGGGTATTTCACGTAGTCATGGTAGAATAACTTTTTAATAAAACTGTTCAAAATTTCTATATGAACTCAAATACTTATGCCATTATATTTTCATATCAAGTAAATGCATTGATTAATAATAAGCAGCATACAATGTTTTCCACCCTTTAGTCATTGTTACAGTATAGAAATAATTTTAATATATTTTATGTCAATTATCACAAACGCCATTGTTGTTATTGAAATCAATATGTTTTAAGGCTCAAAAAGTTGTATTTATGTTCCACGGAAGTCCTAATACGCATTATACAACCAGGCACAGCTACACAGATCAGATCAGCTGGCTCTTGCTGTTTCAACAAGCATCTTATACAGACCTGATTGCCGTTTAGGCATTTTTAACTTAGGATTTTTTACGTTACATTTGTAAACTGGTTAAACCGCGTATTTAAAGGAGCCTTTTTATGTCCTTATCTGACTCCATGTCTCAAGGTATAACGGTGAGTTTCATTAAATTATTATTTTTTGGAATGTGTAGTTCAGGAATTTTGAATAATTTTATAATTCAGGAAATATTAAAAATATGTAATTCTTCATTCGGGGGATATATGTTATGAATGAATTAAATGCATTGAAGGATCCCAAGGCTTTAGTAAATATCACATGCTGTAAATGTTTCATCATGTTGGTGCTAAATCTAGAGATGTCCTGTCGATTCACTTACGGTTCAACATATGTATGTTGCGCAATACCTAAAAAACAAACGCATAGTCGTTTTGTATTTTTTAAAATCTATTAATTAGCTATTGTGTTCAAACAATGGTCGAAATATGTGACAAAAGTGTTGATAACATGATTTTACACAATTGCGCAAGTAAAAAAATCAACTTTAGTACCTGAAGAGGTCGATTTTGATTAGATTTCTTACAAGGATTAAAAAGGCATCACCACAACGCAACAGAAATCACCTTCCAGTTGAAATTGTGCAGCAAAAATCATGCACTGTCTGGCTATAAAAATCCAGATTACTTTCAGAAATTAGCATTCGTTTTGAAGGAGTTTCAAGGTCAAATCACTACGCCACGTCTTGACGCTGCGATTTGGAACATCGCCATTGAAAGAATGCACTCTGGAGATTACCAATCTTCTGTTGCCAGGTGTCTGAATGTTACTCTGAGCACGATATAACAGCTTACAACTTCTTACAACAGGCATAACAGATTACCGTCCCCGTACAGGTTGACCTCGAGTCACCACTAGCCCAACATCGGTACATCCGGGTACTACATTTGCGTGATCGTACTGCCACGGGTGAGAGCACAGCAGCCAGGGTGCCTGAACTTCGGAGGATATCCGGTATATATGTATACAGAGAGGGGGCTGAGAGAGAAAGAGAGTGATAGATATATAGCTAGATATCTATCGGTGTCTAAACCTTGTGGTCCCTTTGAGTTCGTTTTAAGTGCAGTTCGCTAGTAAATAGTATCTAGTAATGGTAAATAGTATCAGTTTGCTAGTATCTCTTAGTAAAACTGTGTCTTAACACAGATCTGTGGCCATGAGATTGAACTACCCAAATCTGGACAGGACCTGGTTATTGTCAAGGACAGAGGAGGGAAGGCGTACACTTTACAACGCTATGATGGCGTCTATTATAACATCTTCTACAGCGTGGCTCACCTTAAGCAAATCAAAGGATTTAAACTCCGTTCGGATGACGTCTACTTTGCTGGATATTTGAGGACAGGTAATTAACAAACACACAGTGGTATAAGTAATGTTGGATCCGCTACATTATGACTTTTGTGGTTTTCTGTAATCCTGAAGAATGATGGCCCCTAACACATTTAACTGCATTGAGATTCATTACGAAGTTAGAGTATTGGGGAGAAGATAATATATGGATAATAAAATTCTTTATCTTAACATCATAGATGTAACTCCAAATCCAACAAAATTGCTAACTAACTAAGAAAAAGCTATAATTATAATTTCCAACTGTGTATAATATGAAACTAACTTCAGATTATTGAATCATGCTAATAATTACGTGATTATTACATGACTACTAGTATACTGCAACACACAGTAACTTGTCTGGTTACCCGTGGCCTCACCTATTTGACTGCTTACCCGTGAAAATCCGGGTTAAAATTGGTGTTCAGCAACCCATGATTGTCATACGAGGCGACTAACCCGACTGACACGGTGGTCAGGTTCGCTTGACACGTGTCATCGTATCTGAACTGCGATCGATGCTCATGCTGTTGATCACTGAATTGGCTGGACCAGACTCGACTATTTACATACCACCGGCTTTAAACGACAAACAAAACAAATATTTGACTCCTTGTAAAATTCATTAGTAACACTACAGATTTTCACAAACACCTGAGATACAGTATCCTTGAAGAAAACTATATATTCAACAGGCACACACTGGACGTATGAAATCATGAGCATGCTCCTGAGGGGGAAATCTGAAACCGCCGCTCTCTGGAAAGGGATGAACCAATTAGAGATTGTGGAAGCTGCAGCGCTGGACGCACTACCGTCTCCACGCATATTAAATACTCATTTCAATTTGCTCCATGCTCCCGATGATCTTAAAGAGAAGAAATGCAAGATTGTGTATACCCTCAGAGACACCAGGGATGTTGCCGTGTCCTCGTATAACCTGAGTCGTAGTGGGTCTGTTGTGACCAACTACACTGGAGACTTCAAGGATTATCTTTACCCCTTCCTTGAAGGGAAGGGTAGAGTGTGTTTAATGCGTTCCGATGCTTTACTTCTTTCTTTCACTGGGTACATTACGTGGTTGACAAAGTGGCAGACCGGTATAGTAGTTTTGGTTGGCTTCTTTTTGCAATATTTCAGCAATTTGACACCAAGAAAGGTCCCCACATGTTTTACCCATAGATGGGTATGGAACCCGGGCCTTCAGCGTGACGAGTGAACGCTTTAACCTCTTGGCTATCCCACAGCCACCGTGTTTGCGTTTTCTATGAATCGGTCCGATACGTGAAGGTGAAGTTAAGTTATTAGAAGATTATATAGCAATATATTTTCCCAATGTACCTTTCTACTGTGATTAATTCCAGTGGAAAAATATAGTTTCTTGATGCTACAAGTCGTTGTTTATGGCAGATGAATCATACAAAACAAATATGTAAACCAACACACGACAAATAATCTCAGATGAACTGTCGATGTTGCATGTGACGAATTCAATACACTAGCCTACCAGTAAAGATGGATCTAATGACAATCAATAGACTGTCTAGTTCATTTTGGATTATTTTCAGACCGTGATCATGAACATGAATTATTGCTGAAGAAACAAAACCGCTGTTTGAAACATGCGTTGCGATTCATATCAGAAATTAAATTTATATTTAGCAAATTAATTATTACCCCTTTCAGCCGTATAGTCCGTTATTATGAGACATGTGACCACCAAAGGAGGACGAATATTCGTAATAGCACTGATTTTTTGCAGTTGACGTTAATGGGTACTTTGATCACATGAAGAGTGCTGAAAAGTATCTTCAGCAACATCCAGACATCCCTGTTCTCACAGTAGTATATGAGGAGATGCTTAAGGTAACCATGACCAGCCTGTTATTGATTAGAAGCGACAAAACCCTTTCCACATTCATAAGAAATCTCTGCTAAATACAAAGTCGATTTACAATTGTGACTATATCATGAGGAGATATTTGTTTCAGCAGTGTTAGAGCTGTATGCTGTTGTTTGTAAACAAATCGGGTCTGAACAATAGCAATCACAGTAAATCACGTTTTGTTCAGTTAATTACAACAGATATAATACTCTTAACGTTCATCGTAAATATTTGCTTTTGGGGTGTAACGCTGTTTTAGGATTCATCCTTAAAAGGGAAATTCAATCAATCATATCCAAGGGTGTGATTACTCGAAAAGATAACAAGTATACAATGACTAGTTTATATATTCTTTTCATAGAATAAGCTGATGGGAGTTGAAAAGTTGGCAAACTTTCTTGGCGTCCCGAAGGAATTGTTGATCTGTTTGAAGCTGTTGCAGAAAATGTCAGTTTTCGAAAATGGTGGTTGACAAGAGTGCATACACTTTAAAGTTCAGTGGAGAAAACTCTATTTTCCGTAAAGGTAACGAACAGTTTGACTGAATGAAATGTAACTATGCATTTTAACTCTTTATAAACGCACCAAATACGACGCCATCCCACAGGAGAGTGACTTAGTGAGTTGGTATAATGTCGCTTTGATGACCTCGGAATAGCAGCTGCATGTGGGATAGATGCCCGAGGTGATGCAGGTCTCAGACATTTTAACACTTTCCTAAATATCACGATAATAATAATAATAATAATGTCCACTTGTATGGCGCCGTTTCCACACACTAGTGTATGCTCATGGCGCCTCGTGTGTACAGCTAAAAAAAACTGCAGCAATTGTACAAGTCATTCGTAATATTTCCTGAAAAGATGGGTCTTCAATGAAGATTTGAATAAGTCAAGAGATTTTGCTGTTTTGATGGTTATGGGAAGACTGTTCCACAGTGAAGGAGCAGCATAGCTGAATGATCTGTGACCATAGTTCTTGAGATTGACAGGGGGTGTTGTTAGGAGGAACTGTTGGTGTGATCTCAGCTGTCGTGGTGGTGTGTACACTGAGATGAGTTCAGAGAGGTACTGAGGCGCTAGGTCATGTAGACATTGGAACACAATGGTCAAGATCTTGAATTCGATTCTGGCTTGGATGGGCAACCAGTGAAGAGACTTTAGGACAGGGGTTATGTGAGATCTTTTAGATGTTAGGGATACAATGCGGGCTGCAACGTTTTGGATTTTCTGGAGTTTTGTCAAGTGTGCAGAGCTGAGTCCAAACAGAATGCTGTTTGAATAGTCCAGTCTAGATAGAACGAGAGACCTGACGAGAGTATGGGCTGCATCTGTTGTTAAATTATGACGAATGTTACTGATAGCTCTCAGGTGGAAGAAGCAGATTCTTGAAAGATGGTTGATCTGAGCATCAAGTGATAGGTCCTGGTCTGTGAACACTCCAAGATCTTTCACGGATGGACCTAGAGTAATTTCTGCATCAGCTATTGTGATTTTCTCAGTCGTGATTTTGTTCAGACGATGTTTATTGCCGACAAGCATAGCTTCTGTCTTATCATCGTTCATTTTGAGCATCATAGATGACATCCAGGATTTGATGGACTTTGTGCAGATAGCTGTCTTCTCTGGGGAATGTTGAATCTGATTCAGAGCAAAAGAGTCTACCAGCTGAGTATCGTCTGCAAACGAATGGTGAGGAGTGTCATACTTGTCGGATATGTCGGTCAAGGATGTCATGTAAAGGAGGAAGAGGATGGGCCCCAGAACAGATCCCTGCGGAACTCCACATGTGAGATCTGCTGTTGTGAATGAAGACTGCTCACGAGATGAGAAACCTAAGAAAATATAGTCCGAAATCAAAATCATAGGTTTCTGGCATGCATTCGAACCTCAAAACAGAATCACATTATTAACTCGTTATGTGATTCAAACTCTTGCTTCTTATTTTAGGCGTGAGTGGCGATTGGAAGAACTGGTTCACTGACGAATTGCTGGAGGACTACTTCCGTGTGTACGAAGAACAAATGGCCAACTCAAGATTCTATCGTGAAGAATACGGACGACAGAAGTAGTCAGTCTGCAAGTTCATAACGCAAGAATGTATATTTGAGGAATAATTGTAAACAATTGAATGGATAGTTAAATGACATATATATACAGACAGATTTTACATATAGAGAAGTATGGTATGTACACTGTAACTGCGCATACCCTTTGTCATACAATTTGTTGTCGTCAGCAAAGTTATTATATCATTAGTGTCCATGTATTCAACGTTACAAATTCCAATTTTAAAGAAATTAAAATTAAAAACCATGAAAACGTGGTGTCCACGGGTTTTTATTGAACCATTCATAACATCTACATCATTTGTTTTACCCTTACACCCAAATGAATTCAATTCGATGTTTTGAATTGATGCTAATGATAGTACGAGTTTCTGATCAGAGCGATGTTTGAACAGAAGTCAACTTTGGTAGTTATTATTAAGATATTCAATTAGCTTCTAATCAAATCGAATATCAATGAACCACTTTAAACCTGTATAACATGATAAATAAAGCAGTAATTGTTCATAATTTACAGACATGTAAACATGTATCAAACAAGTACAGTGACCTTACCTTTTAACAGAGGTTCGTGGATACTTCTACAACCGAATTCAAAAGGGTAGGGAGTGGGTGAATGTCAATGTATTTTTGTACATTGTTCATGATAATGACAACACACGGTTTTGTTATCTAAGTCAACTATGTCTGCAAAGTATGAACACATTTTCTTGAACAATGACATTAAGTCAATAGAAATGAAAAAAACCTTTCCACATTCATAAGAAATATTGTATTGTACAATTGTGACTATATCATGAGCAGATATTATAATGTTTCAGCACCATTAAAGCTGTATGATGTTGTTTGTAAACAAATCTGGTCTGAACCAGGCAATCCAGTGATTGTCACCATGCGATACGATGACAGAGCATGTGTTTATGAACCACTTTGAAATAGTGATGATACCAGGTGTTCGCGGAAAGCTGAGCGTATCCTGCCCAAACTGTGGCCCCGTCACAGACATATGCGAAGTCTAGTAATTTGTTCACCTGAAATATACTACATATACTAAATATACAAAAGTTTAGACTCACTTAAAATGTTCACTAAATGCTATTTACATATCTATGGTTACACAGAAGAATTACTCCACTAATGGGGGAACCAACTGCAAACCTTATGCAGATGAACTGCACGAGGATCATGCATCAAATTGTTGAAAGCATGTGCAAATATCGTGCATGTGAATAACTGCGTTTTGGTGTAAAGTTTTGTTAAAAATTCGCCAATTTTCACTGATTTCTATCATTTATTGAACGCATGACAATGATTTTTTCAATGTTATGAATATGTATTGCAATACATCAGTGCATGCGTAAACAGTACCTTTAAACAGTATGGAATCTTTTGCAAAATTTATTTAGTTTACAACAGTTGCCTGAAGTAGGTGGCTTTATTTATACTAGTGAGTCTAAACTTTTGAAAGGAAGTATGATTCGTGAGCGTATGATATAAGTCAACATAATGAAGCTGGAGCTGTTGGAATACTGCTCGACATGAAAGGGAAGTTGACTATTAGAATGTTGAAATCAGCCCTTTTGTTATAAAGCCTTGTGGGGAGTTTTTCTGTCACTCTGAATCGTTACGCATAGACCTAAATATGAAACAGTTGAGGCGGTCTCACTTGTCTCCTTAATTTCAAGCTGACGTTGGTAAATTAGTGGAAGGCAATTGCTATTTGATGGTTAATGAAGTATATTAAATCATCGATGTACCGAAAGCATAAGTTAAACTTCTTGGTCAAATTACCTTGTTTTGATTTTGCCAACCCAAGCAGAAATTGGGTTTTGTTATTTAAGTATACAAAGTAAGAACAACTTTCCTTGAACAATGACACACCACTCTAGCATTTTACCACCAATGTCCAGTTTGAGACGATGGATTGAAATATCATGGTCTACAGTGTCATATGTGTCACCCCGAAAAATATTTATTCCCCAACACGCTCTGTGGTTGCTAACATTATTCAGTCACCCATCTCATTGATTCATGCCGCATCATTGAGTGATCTCCTCACTCCGCCATAACATATTTTAGAAGTTCTATCTTAGGCGCAAGGTATTTATTAGTAGCCCCAAAAAGGCTGATTTTTTAAAAGTAGCATGCCCATTCGTGATTAAACATTACGGAAGCCTATTAGGGCCACGCTACACTATTATTCAGCATTTTGTATCTTGAAACTATAACTTGCTATCTTGAAAATTCAACTTGCTATCTTGAAAATTCAACATCCTATCTTGAAAATTCAACTTAGCATCTTGAAAATTCAACATCCTATCTTGAATATTCAACTTACTATCTTAAAAATTCAACTTAACTTTGTTGAATATTCAAGTAGGTATCTTGAAAATTCAACATCTTATCTTGAAAGTTCAACATCCTTTCTTGAAAATTCAACTTAGTATATTGAAGTTTCAACATTCCGTGTTGAAAATTCAAGAAAGTCAGTACTTAAATGAAATGCTCTTCGTTCATTATGCGCATTTCCAAATTCTCTGTACACGAACTGTTGCCGATGACAATGGAGCAAACCAGAGACAATGTCATCTCTATGTATTTTTCGTATGTTTCCTTCAGGTTATCTAACGCAGAGATTCTATGCTTTCTTGTACAGTACCATGGCATGATTATAAGTATAAGGACACTGAAAAGGGTTTTGTCCAGATGCAAACATCGCATGAGAAAAGACCATTCTGATATCATGGAAGTAGCTAATTGTAATGGTTACAGGTGGATGCATCGTCAATGTCAGGAGAACGGACTCATAGTTTCAAAGGAAACCATTTTGATACTTATGAACCTAACTGACCCAGAAAGAATAAAAATCGCAAGAAACGCCGCCTTGCGCGCTGCCCGAATATCTCGAGCCTATAACTGCGGCGTGCAAGGTATCATATCAAAATGGTTTCCTTTCAAACTATGAGTCCATTAGACTGACATTTACGATGCATCCACCTGTAACCATTACAATTACCCGATGTGTTACACTGTTGCAAAATGAACAAAGCCACTTCCATGATATCAGAATGTTTTTTTCTCCCGTGAAGTTGCGCTATATAAACATCCTATAATAATCCTATAATTCTTGCCAGACAGAAGTAACCCCATCCTAACGCTACTACAAAAATACATAGAGATGATATTGTTTCTGCTTTGCTTCACTGTCATCGGCTACAGTTCGGGTACAGAGAATTTGGACATTTCATTTATGTACTAATTTTCTAGAATTTTCATCATACTAAGTTGAATTGTCAAGATACTAAGTTGAATTTTCAAGAAAGGATGTTGAAGTTTCAAGATAGCAAGTTGAATTTTCAAAATACTAAGTTGAATTTTCAAAATACTAAGTTGAATTTTCAAGATAGCAAGTTGAACTTGCAACATATAAGATGCTGAATAATAGCGTAGCGTGGCCCTAATAGGTTGCCGTAAAACATAGCCTTGCAGCTCTTGTCGCGCTGTCCCTTGAACATGTATATTAAATAGGACAACATGGAAGAAATAATACAAATACGAACTTGCGAATTATGAAGAAACAAACTTTCAATCCTAGATGGATGATCTAATTGAAACTAAGCCTGAAGTCCATAAACAATTATATGTTAAAATATGAATTGGTCATTCCATTGAAAATGTATTAAGATGCATGTACCTTTCCTATTGTGGAAAAGTTCTAGAAAATCCTTGAATGTGCCCTGGTAGCCATTTAACCCTGCATCCATATATAAACAGTACAGTGAGACTGCAACATCCTTTGGGTCTCTTAGATTGTAGATTATCTTGCATTTCGTTTCTCTCAACTGCGTTTGTGCACGAGAAAGTTTGAAGTGGGTGTTGATGATTCGTGGGGAGGAGAGACTACTCAGTTCATCATTCTTTCTGAATTCTAGTTGACTCTTTTCCTTGTATCTGGGTATGGTGTCGGCAGTTCCACTGAGCAGCATTCCAACCATTTCAAACGTCCAGTGTGCTACTGTACAGTATCAAATAAACGGTCTTATCAGCTGATACACGGTGTACGTTGTTGTGACATGAGTAGATCTAATGACCAAACTAGGTAATAAGTAGGTAGGGTCGACGTGATCAGGTTTCTGGTTCCCTAGACAGGTAACTCGTTGGGCAATCATGTAAAACTTGTTTTCGGCTGATCGTTGCTTACATTTGAAAAAAAGTCCACATTTACAAGCTTGGAAATGTCTTGGAAAGATGATGTTTCCAAGACATTTCCAATTTTTGAAAGAGGATGTTTCCAAGACATTTCCAATTTTGGAAATATGAGATTTCCCAAAAATTCACATTCACAAGGGGAGATAACTGGGGGTCGATGGTAAATGATTCTAGTTTGCACGCCCAAAGACCTAGTAATCCCCTGTTAATTGATGAGTGATTCAAGGCAGTTAAGATTCACCAATTAACAAGGCGTACAGTGGCCCAGAATTCATGTTTTGGAGGTAGTAAATGAACGAGTGTATGTTTATAAGCATCATGACACAAATTTCAACTCATTTTGACTTAATTCGACTAACTTAGAGCGATATTTAAAAATCTCGCCCATGGGCGAATTATGTTGGCCCATGGGCGAGAATATTTACTTTTACTCAAAATACATGTTTTTTCCATGTTTTGGAGGTAGTAAATGAACGAGTGTATGTTTATAAGCATCATGACACAAATTTCAACTCATTTTGACTTAATTCGACTAACTTAGAGCGATATTTAAAAATCTCGCCCATGGGCGAATTATGTTGGCCCATGGGCGAGAATATTTACTTTTACTCAAAATACATGTTTTTTCCATGTTTTGGAGGTTGTAAATGAATGAGTGTATACTTATGGGTATCATGAAACAAATTCAACTCATTTTGACTTAATTCGACTAACATAGGGCGATATTAAAAAATCTCGCCCATGGGCGAAAAACATTTTGGCCCATTGGCGAGAATATTGACTTTTACTCAAAA